TAACAGCGATGGCCTCCACTCCAACCTAACAGCGATGGCCTCCAACCTAGTAGCTGATAGCAACGTTTCTGTTTTCTGAGGTCGCGGCCGTTCTTGTCCAGCAGAATGTTGGGTCCCTTGATGTCTCGGTGAAAGGCCTCGGTGTTGGGTCTTGGAGCTTTGGACCTTTCTCGTGAATACCATGGTTGCAAGGGCATGTAGGAGAGAAGGTCGGCAAAAGGTTCAAAAGTTCAAACGTTTTAGACCATTCATTCAGACGCAAATTGTTCTTGGTCCCAAACTCTGGGAGTCATGTGGTGCAAATGGGAGAGGCCACACGCTGCATCCACGGCTGCGCTCAACCGAGCTTTCCACTTGAACCTCAGCTGAGGCTGTCTTCTAAAAAAGGCTTCGCTTCGTTAAACAAATGCCTCCGCCCCTTGTCATTCACCCAAGGACCTTCAAAGCAACAACCCCACACTTCTCGTGGGATTCTTGAGGTGGAACAATGGCGCGGCACAGGTAATGCTTCCAAAACGCGGTTCCAGTTGCTGCCGGCTTCGCTGGATACGCTTGCTGACCTTTGCTGGCTGAAACTAGGCCCAAAGCATGTCAGTTCCTGTCTGTTCAAGCATTGTTGTAAGGGAGAGGGCACGGAAACGGCGCCCACGCGACTTAGGATCAAATGCAGTAGCCTCATCTAAATCTAGCACAGCACACGGCTCTCAATTTCACTGCCGCCGACTTTCCTTCGACAGGTCCAGTCTGAGAGCGCAATAAGGCCGCACACTCCAACAGCCATTGCTGAAAGCCACAGCCGTCATTCATTCGGCACGCTACTCTGATTTGAGCTGAGCGTTGCCCAGCTTTCACTGAACGCCCACAGCAAAAGTCAAATTATTCGAGCCTTGTGCTCTGCGATGTTATCACAGGGGCCAACAAAGGATATCGCAAACGCCAGTGCCAGCACTTGGGGAAGATGTAAGATTTTCGGGACTCAACAGGCATCAATCAAGTAGGGAGCTATTCGATGACATATTCGATGAAAGTTTTTGTTTGCTATTGCATGGGCATGTTCCTGCGTGTATTGAAGGCAGGTGCACGTCTTTGGGCGAGGGCCACCAGGTTCAGCATATGTCGTTGGTTAGCCATGTCCATATGTAGATGTGGATTAATGCACGCGTATGCATCTTGACATATTTCGAGCAGCCAATGAGCTCGCGGTTTGCCTACTCGTCGGGTATGTTCGATCCTAGGTGTGAAAGTTCCTGATTCGAAAAGGACTTCTCTCATGGGGCCAAGCGGGGGCGCGAGGAGAAAGTGCCCTAACAAGCGAATTGTGCTTAGTGTCCATCTGTTTGAAAGACTGACATGCTGGTATCCAAATTGTTGAGTATTGTTGGCATAAGGTTTCTATTCTTCGTTGGTTTGTACATGCTCTGTCAATATACGTGGGTGGTACCCTGAGAATTGTCCTCAGCATCATCTGTCTATTGAATTCTGTTCTGACTTTGTAAGTTGCATGGTCTCTAGTGGAGTCTCTAGTCCACAAAGAACCTTAGAAAACACTCGTAATCTCCACTTTACGGCTGTACCAGCTTTGGACCAAAAAAACTGTAGCTGTGAAGCCACGGCATTTACTGAGCCAATCCGACGTATAAATTCTGTATGGTTATCCACGGAATCTGTTAACGTTGCTCCAAGATATCGAGCCCTGTGATTTCCGAAGAACTACGGTACCGTC